ATGTTCTCGAGACTTCCCATTCTGCGCCTCCACGGTGCTTTCTCCTCTTCGAACGGGATGCGCCCGCAGTATCTCCACGAGATCCTGATAAGATATTGCTTTCATCTTCATCCTCAGAGATTTCTCCTGTATACTCTTCATCGGAATCGACCATACTTGCACTGAAACGGAATGAGAGGCGAGTGCGTCAACCCAGAAGTGCGTCGGGCGTCATGAAAGTTGGATGGAAAAGGTCTACCTAGGCATGTATCCACTCTGTTGGATTCGGTTCGAGCAGGGAGGGTCCGAGCTCCGCCGGAGCTCCGTTCCCTACCTTTCCTCATGAAGCAAGGGTACTTACTAGCTGAGGTATCTAGCAGTTGCTGTTCTCATCCTTTTTGTTTTTTTTTTTTTTTCTTAGGCTTTTGACCTTCATTATCATTTCCCTTAAACTTGGACCTTTTCTACTCGTTCCAATTCTATACTAGCTTTCCTGGCTAGGTACCATTGGATACTTAACACTTTCTAATCTACTCTGAGCTCCATTGTGATCAGAGAAAGCCCTGCTTCGTAACCTGAAGTTTTAATTAGCCACACTTCGTATTGCTACGACGGTGTACTGCAAAAATTGATGAGCTGCTCCGAGAGTAACCGTAGGTAGGCAGACTTGGCCCCATCCTAAAATCTCAGACCCAAAAATGTGGGGAAGAAGATGCATCGCGTCAACCCGACGTGGTGGTATGAATGCTCATGCAGTCCGTGGTCATTCTCCAATTTATCGTCCGGTCCGACCACTTTCCCACCTCTGCCCCTCATCCTCCACCTCTTTCTGCCCCTCCTCCATCTCTTCGTCACGCTCCCGCTCCCTTTCCGGCTTGCCCTACTCGACACACCTACAGTCTATCCGTAGGGTCAATCTTGCTCTATCCTCACCCGTTTTTGTAAGGCGCTGTTCATCTGAATTCCGCGCAATGGCATCCAAGGACAGGGATATCCTCCCGGACGAGTAAGTTACCGATCGCCAACAGCTGAGTATCATGCACCCATCTGTTGGCGTGCCTCTAACAATTGGTGGCAGGGTCAAGCCTGTTCATTACAATGTGTCTTTGTTTGACCTTCAGTTCGGCGGCTCATGGGGTTATAAGGGTATCGTCAAAATCGATTCCAAGGTCACCCGTCCCACAAAATCGATCGTGTTGAACTCCAAGGAAATCGAAGTCCAGGATGCTGAAGTTTTTGGAAAGGACGGTTAGTGACAGAGCCACATCCCAATTGTTCCTGATCCCATTCTTTTCCATAAACGAATGTTGGGTTTGACATATCGGCTGTACTTAGGGACCAAGCTGGCAAAGGCGTCTAACATCGCATACGATACCAAATCGGAAAGAGTCACTTTTACCTTTGCAGAGGAAATCCATCCCGCAGATGTTGTCCTGTCAATCAATTTCACCGGTATTATGAACAATGCCATGGCTGGATTTTCTCGCTCCAAGTATAAGCCGGTGGTGGATCCGACCGAAGATACACCCAAGGAGGGCGATTCCTATTACATGTTTAGTACCCAATTCGAATCTTGTGATGCTCGTAGGGCATTCCCTTGCTTCGATGAACCGAATCTGAAGGCCACATTCGACTTTGAGATTGAGGTTCCCCGAGGACAAACAGCCCTTAGCAACATGCCTATCAAGTCGGAAAGGAGCGGCAGTAGGCCAGAACTTAAGATGGTCTCTTTCGAAACTACACCGGTCATGAGTACTTACGTCAGTTTGCACCGACCCTTGATAGTAATGATTCACACTAACTCTTGACATCTTCTATCCAGCTTCTGGCATGGGCAGTCGGTGACTTTGAATATGTTGAGGCTATGACTCAGCGCAAATATCAAGGCAAGAGCATCCCCGTTCGCGTGTATACGACCAAGGGCCTCAAGGAGCAGGCTCGCTTTGCTTTGGAATGTGCCCATCGTACGGTCGATTACTTCTCTGAAATCTTTGAGATCGAGTATCCGTTGCCTAAGGCGGATCTCCTTGCTGTCCACGAGTTTGTACGGAAATTGATCCTGTTTCTCACGAGTCAAAACCACTAACGAAAAATGCTCCAGGCTATGGGCGCCATGGAGAACTGGGGACTTGTTACCTATCGAACGACTGCTGTACTTTTCGACGAGGGCAAGTCAGACACCAGATACAAGAATCGTATTGCATATGTCGTCGCGCATGGTTTGTCTTTCCTTGCAATTTGAGCAGCATTGTTCTCTTCTAACGAGTGATAATCCTAGAATTGGCGCACCAATGGTTTGGAAATCTCGTAACGATGGATTGGTGGAATGAGTTGTGGCTCAATGAAGGCTTTGCAACATGGGTTGGCTGGCTTGCTGTGGATCATTTCTATCCAGGTATTCAATGGACCCGGGCGCTTACAGACCAAATGCAGCTGACATTTTTCTCGCGAACAGAGTGGAACATATGGTCTCAGTTTGTTGTACGCAATTCTCGAGGTAAATACAGCCTTGTGTGGTAGATTATTAACTTTTGCATAGGCTGAGAGTGTCCAACAAGCATTTCAACTCGATTCATTACGAGCTTCCCACCCGATTGAGGTTCCTGTTAGGAACGCTCTTGAAGTCGATCAAATTTTCGATCACATCAGCTACCTCAAGGGTAGCTCGGTCATCCGTATGCTAAGCGATCATCTTGGACGGGAAACGTTTCTGCGGGGAGTAGCCACTTATCTCAAAGCCCATGCATATGGCAAGTACACATCGAAGACCTATAGGGGATCGGGGTTGCTAATTACTGACAAATCCAGGCAATGCTACCACTAATGATCTTTGGAGCGCTCTCAGCGAAGCGTCCAATCAGGATGTTACTAGCTTTATGGTGAGCTGCCTTTCTTTTTGAATAGTGGACTACTGATCTGACTGCATCATGAAGGATCCCTGGATTCGCAAGATTGGATTTCCTGTCGTCACCGTGACCGAACAAGCCGGTCAGCTCAATGTTCGTCAGAACCGCTTCTTGTCGACGGGTGATGTTAAGCCCGAGGAAGATGAGACGGCTTGGTGGATTCCCCTTGGCGTCAAATCAGGACCTAAGATGGCCGACGTAAAGCCCGGTGCTCTCGTTTCCAAGGAAGCTACAATTGGAGAACTCGGAAAAGATTCCTTTTACAAGCTGAACAAAGACCTGTCCGGCTTTTACCGAACCAACTACCCTGCCGATCGGCTGGCGAAACTCGCTCAGTCTCTGGAACTGCTGAGCACCGAGGATAAGATCGGATTGATTGGCGATGCCGCTGCCCTGGCTGTTTCCGGGGACGGGTCTACTGCTGCTCTATTGGCTCTCTTAGAGGGGTTTAAGGGCGAAAAGAATTATCTGTGAGTATCTAACTATGACATTCTTTACCCTTCGCAAGATTCGGCAATTCCTATACTTCATGCTCGGTTCTTAACGACTTCCATAGGGTCTGGTCCCAAATCTCTTCCACCGTTGCGAACTTACGCTCTGTGTTCGCCCTGAATGAGTCGGTAGCAGCGGGACTCAAGAGGTTTGCCCTCGAGCTCTCATCCCCTGCCGCTAATGAAATCGGTTGGGAATTCAGCTCTGAGGATGACTATCTCACTGTCCAACTTCGTAAGCTTCTAATTGGGATGGCTGGCCGTGCGGGCCACAAAGAGTATGTCAACCAGGAGACGTTTTACGCTTTTACTCAAGGTCTAACTTTTTGCTAGCATCATACCCGAGGCCAAACGACGATTCGAGCTTTGGAAAACAGGCAACGATAAGAACGCTGTGCATACTAACCTACGCTCAGTGATCTTTAGTATTGTAATTTCGGAGGGCGGTCGTGAAGAATATAACGCCGTAAAGCAAGAGTACCTCAAAACCGACTCCGTTGACGGCAAAGAGATTTGCCTAGGAGCCCTTGGGCGTACTAAAGATGCTGAGCTGGTAAAGGATTATATGGACTTCGTCTTCTCAGACAAGGTTGCAATCCAAGATATTCATAATGGCGCGACTTCAATGGCTACGAATCCCTTAACTCGCCATCTTTTATGGGATTATATGAAAGAGAACTGGTCGGCAGTTGAAACTCGTTTGTCGGCGAACAATGTCGTTTTCGAGCGGTTTGTGCGCATGGGACTGTCCAAATTTGCAGACCACGATATTGCAGCCGATATTGCTTCGTTTTTCCGGGAGAAAGACACCGGTGCGTACGATCGCGCCCTGGTAATTGTCGCTGATAGCATCCGGACGAATGCACGCTACAAGGAAAGAGACGAGAAGCAGGTCTTGGAATGGCTCCAGGCCCATGGTTACGCTTGATCCACTTGGGACGAAGGTAAATGGTTTTTATAATCTGTTTGTACCAATAGGTGAATATGGTGCCTTGTGATTAGAAACACCTGCCATTTTGTGAATCATCTGAATCCGGAGCTTTGTAGAACTTGAACTTCTGACTTGTACCTATCTTGATGCGTGATGGACTGTCTTTCGTCTTAGGAAGTGAAGGTGGAGCACTTCGTTACAGTATTCGATGTCTCCCTGACTTGCACATGTGACGAGAGAGGGGCCGGCAATTGGTAGTAGGTATATATATCGCTAGTAGACGTAAATAAGTACCTTTCCATTTTGCATTGTTCTATCGGGAGGACCGAAGGTATGTTACCTGAAGAAAAAGGGTGGTACCGAGCCATCTAAACCTGTTTAGAAACCGGAGTGCACATTGTGCAACTTAAGTCGGACTACTGTAAATACCATCTCCTAGATAGGCCCGTCCCTAGAATCTGTTCATTTGCATGTGGTTGTTAGTGTCTCTTGATTGGCGCACTAACCTGGCTTGGGTCATGGGTCTGGGGCGGGCGAGCGTGAAACGGTCATTCCCACCCAGGAGGTCCACACTAGGCAGGAGACGGACTAGCGCCAGTATTGGAACCTGCACGTTGGGCTCGCCTGCTCTCCTGCAGTCAGCAACGCAACCGCCATTTCAAGAGACCGCTCGGTCATCTCATTAAGTAGACACTCAAGTATCGTTTACTACATCGGCTTGTTGCCACGCCTAATACTTCTCTTCTGCAACTTCAGCTCTCCACCTTTTCATCAAATAACTCTCTAGATTTCGCATACGCTGACGTACCGTCCAAGTGTCCCATCATGAATCCCGAGTGGTAAGTGCCCTTGATCGCCCATATTTGGCCTACAACTCATCAGGTTCCGGCGATGCCCCCCTTGTCATGATGGCACTACATCTTTTCATCCATATCTTCTTTATCTCTTGGTTCTCGTGCTAATCTGAACCCCTATTAGAGCCCCCCACGATCCTCCGTTTCCCCCACGCCTTATTTGGCTCAGCGCGGCCCTCTGCGTGCGTATCGATCGATCGATATGCTAATAGTTTGGCTAGATACGATTATCTCTTCAAGCTGCTCCTCATCGGAGACTCTGGTGTTGGAAAGTCGTGCTTGCTCCTCCGTTTTGCCGACGATACCTACACGGAGAGCTACATCTCCACCATCGGAGTTGACTTCGTACGTATCTGGCCTCTCACTTCTCATCATAGCTGCTAGCAGTGGGCTGCGTCATGAAATCTCATCTAACGTTCTTGAATGCAGAAAATCCGTACCATCGAGCTGGATGGAAAGACGGTGAAACTCCAGATCGTAATGCAGCCCCCATTCATAACAGTCGGTCACCGGGCTTTACTAACGGGCGCTCTAGTGGGATACTGCGGGCCAGGAACGTTTCCGGACAATCACTTCTTCTTACTACCGTGGTGCTCATGGAATCTGTGTCGTTTACGATGTTACCGACATGGACTCTTTCAACAATGTGAAGCAGTGGCTTCAAGAGATTGATCGCTACGCCACCGAAGGCGTCAACAAGCTCCTTGTCGGAAACAAGAGCGATATGGAGGACAAGAAGGTCGTTGAATACACAGTGGCTAAGGTATGTGGCCATGCCTTTTGTGTGGGACTCTTCCATGTTCTGGCAGAGTGGGTGATTGACACAATGTGTTTGTTTAGGAATTCGCCGACAGCCTTGGAATTCCGTTCTTGGAGACCTCGGCAAAGAACGCTTCGAATGTAGAGCAGGCTTTCTTGACAATGGCGAGACAGATCAAGGAACGCATGGGCACCGCGACTGTCAACAACAAGCCAACTGTGCAGGTTGGCCAAGGCCAGGGCGTTCAATCCGGCTCCGCGGGCGGCTGCTGCTAGACTATTGATGATCCTGATCCCGCGTTGCATTACGCCATCTTGAGACGGGGTGAAAATTTGGTGATTAAAGAAGAGGAGCCACGAGGGAGGCTACCTATTGCACCCTGCTGCCGGGCAGTCTTCCTCGAATGCTAGCATTATCTTAAATGTTCTATGCTGGCAATGGTCACCGGGAGTAGTTTTCTTTTTCATGCTTTAGAAGGCTTTCGTTTCGTCTTTATACATGGTGCACTATGGATAATTTTCTGTGTCCTCAGGTTTTCCCTTTCCTCCTCTCGGTCATCTATCTTCCCCTTCCCTATCTTTCCCGTCGCTATTGTCTTGCTCGTGGCCTTTCTCTAACTCGAAGCATTTTCTATCTGATCCGTTGAGTTTTTCTTAGTTAGTTGGATCCGTTGCGTGATTATGTCTGGGTCAATTAATGCAGAAGTTAATGATACTTAAGTGAATATGGTTCGTGGCAAATCAAAATCAGAACATACTCGCTTTTCCGCCTTCATTAACTTTGACTGTAACGGTATAGTGAAATACAGGTTGTAGGCTATGTAGAGTCATTGTTAGCACTCTACTCTTTCACTAACAGCAACTATGTTTCGGGTCTAAAATTGTATTGATATTGAAAAGTGAACAAGGGTTGTTTGTCGCGTGTAGGCTATATTCCATGTGCGAGGTTGCATAGACCATACGTGCTTTGCGCAGGAATGTCACATGCCATACATACCCTTCCTAGCAGTTCCTGATGCTTTCATGCCTAGGTAGTCCCTCCCACACTCTTCAACTGTGACCAGGCTCTGAAACTATATTTAATTGTTGTTCAGATGATAGATACTGACACGAATCGCTTAGAAGGAAAGCAACGGACTCTAATGTCAATCACCTGTTGTTGTATCAAAGAGTCAAGAGAGAAATGTGGAGGATGGAAATTACACCGATATATGAAACACGTGAAGTGGATCTGCTATTTACCGGCAAATGTCACCTCCTTAATTCATAATTGTGCTTTTCTCCTCAGTAACCATCTAGGAGTATGGAGAAGCCTCAGGAAGTTAGCCCAAATTTCATATGGCATGAGCGTTGATCCGATCAGCTGATGAGGGTCACCCATCAGCCGAGGCACAGGCTTCGGCAAACGTCATGTAAACCATCACCCCCAATCCAGAGCCGAGTCTTTCTCGCACCCGACATCGACATAGTCCCTACCCCATTCGTCCCAAGGCCTACATATCTACCCCTTTCCTCCTTTCTTGCAGTCATTCCTTGCGACCTTCTCGGGCAGAATTATTGAAATATCACTAGCTCCCCATCTGCCGTCTTACTCACACTCACTTGTCAAAGCAATCCGTAACCCATCTATAAGGATCCGAGGTACCGATACCCGATTCGCGTGCACCATCAAAGTATAATATCGATCAGCTTTCTTGACGCACCTATTCCGATAGACAAAGAAAATCACCGCATTATCGATCATGTCTCAGTCTAACATTGAAGGGCAAAAGAAGGCCATTGCAGTGTCTGCTGCGGTCCAGCAAAGTGACAACATGGCACATGCATTGGCGGGCGCTGGAGGCGGTATACTGTCAATGCTCTTGACGTGCGGCAACACCTCCCGTTAATGGAATCAGCGTTGACGTCCCATATGTTGTAGTTATCCCCTGATAACCCTCTCCACGAGAGCGCAAGTCGAGTCCAAGCGTGCCCATTCCACGACGTACGACGCAATACGCCGCATCATTCAACGAGAGGGGGTTTCTGGGCTCTATTCCGGTCTTGAATCTGCGCTCTTTGGCATCAGCGTCACGAACTTCGTCTACTACTATTGGTACGAATGGACGCGTTCGGCTTTCGAAAAGGCGGCTGCGCGGGCGGGGCGGTCCTCAAAGAAGCTCACGACGGCGGAGTCAATGATCGCGGGCGCTATCGCCGGGAGTGCGACGGTCCTGATCACAAACCCTATATGGGTTGTAAACACTAGAATGACAGCCCGCAAGTCCGAGTCGGAGCAAGAAACATTGCCAGGGACTCCCCCCAAGAAGTCGCGGGCATCTACAATTAGTACATTGATGGACTTGCTCCGGCAAGAGGGGCCCAAGGCTCTCTTTGCTGGTGTTTTGCCAGCCCTCATTCTGGTTATCAATCCGATTCTACAGTACACAATCTTTGAACAGCTGAAGAATATTGTGGAGCGTCGTAGGCGTATGACGCCAAAGGATGCGTTCTATCTTGGGGCGCTTGGTAAGATACTGGCAACTTCGATCACCTATCCTTATATTACAGTGAAGAGCCGCATGCATGTCGCTAGTAAAGATGGCCCTAAGGAGAGTCTGAACGGGAGCCTGAAGAGAATCGTCAGGGAAGAGGGTTTTGTGGGCCTTTACAGAGGTATAGTACTGACAATGGGGGAGCCATGCAAACTTATGCTAATATCATATGACAGGCATTGGACCAAAGGTCACACAGAGCGCCATTACTGCAGCTTTTTTGTTTGGGTTCAAGGACGTTCTTTATGACCTTATGGTCTCTCTTCGGAAGAGGAACCGGGCAATTTCCAAGTGAAACATGTGATCTGGAAGAAACTCCTTAAAACACCCTTGCCAAATGATTAATATTACTTGGGCCCAGAAAGTCCTACTGATTGAACCCCACATCGTGTACCTTGGCCCCCTGTATTTCTGTCATTGATCTGAATATATTCTGTATATATATGTTCTCTTATTTGCTTCGGCATGATGACTGTTTATTGGGCGATCCTAGAAATCGATATGTCTAGGCTTGCAATCATGCAGTACTAAGCCTTTCTCTGATTGGGCCTGGCCCTTTTGCTATCGCACCAACGGATTGATTTGGTGATGATGTATAGGTGATCATGGCATCCCACTGTACCTAGTGATTGTGGGCACCTCTTTCAATGAAAAGTTCCGACAACCGGTAAAGACGCTAAAGAGTAGTACTGGTAGAGGAAAATAGAATAGACTACTACTTTGAGCCTTCTACTAGCCTGGTATGAAGCTACGGTACTACATAGTAGTTACTACTATTCGATAAGGAGCCGCGGCTCGATTACATGATTGGCCCTAGTGCGCCTGATCCGCGAGACCCGACCGCCTGCCTTTTACAAGAATATAGAGCACTTTATCCAGCGCGTTCGCGCGTCGCAGTCGACGCGCAGGGTATATAGTATTGTTCTGCTGCTGCCTCAACATTGTGGCTCAGGCGAGGCCCAAGTGAGGTCTGGATGAGTGATGACTATTCGAAGCTGTGCGAAACTCTTGCTGGACTTATGTATCCACACTGGGTAGAGTTTTAATTCTTCCCCTCATATAGTGTTTGTTCCCCGCCAGGCTGTCAAAAATCCATTTTGAGTTAAATTGAAGCCATTGACCGGCGCTGACTTGAGCTTTTCCATATTGGCGCTACAGCAGGTCCCCTTCGAAACCATCTCCCAGTCTGATTCACCTCCAGTGCTGGCACTCATTCACTGAGCAATTGGTCGACATGCGCCGGCAAGCTCAGTTGTCTTGGTTTGGGATACCTAGTGGGAGACAAGTTATCCGCGCACAATGTCCCGTATACACACGCCAGAGGAATCCGAAGAACTTGCTGTTATTGAGGAAGCCCAGTTCCTCCTTTCACAGTTTATAAGAAACTCCTCTCACAATACACGAGGGTCCCCAGCGGCAAGTCGCGGCGATCGAAATACTGCCCCAGGAGAATGCTCTAGGACCGGGAAAGATATTCGGGAAAGCGTCAAGAAGCGCGGTAGGCCGCCTAAGACGCCTAAAACGCGCGTTGAACCTATTTCCTCACCAGCGATCACTGGCGAGAGCCGCGTCACATCCAGCACACCGCAAACACCGGACCCCTTGTACTTTTCCGAACAGGATAGGCCGGATACTGCATCGTCACCAGGAGATGGGCGTGAGATGTCGAGTAACCGACGCTCTCGGCGTGCAAGGACTGGGCCAAACAACTATTACGACAATACCAACTATTTGGGATTCGGCTCCGATGAAGATGTCAGCGCAAGCCCTGCCAGGCCGTCTCCTACCACACCCCGACGACCCAGGTTCTCTAGCATTGCACCTCAACCAAATACTTCGTCATGTATTCGTGATCGAGATGGACAGGCCCGTGTCATCTATACTTCATCTCATGTCCAGATCATCAAGTCGCCGTTTAAAAGTCTAGATGATTTGAGATTATCGGGTCGTGCTTGCTATTCATCAATGCGTAGCCCGGGAGAGTACGCCTTGAAGTATCAGAATAGGCCACCGCTGGCGGATGAGATTCTCCATATTGACTTTGACAGAACCGAAATGGCAGCCATCATGGACTTGTTTTGCTTTTGCGGCTTTCAGCGACACGAGGAGATGGACACCGCGCTTTCGGACCAGCTTATCCAGGCTGCTCATGTTTGTGATATCCCGCAGAGGGCCTCGAAGAAGATCAGGTGGGTATGTGAGCTTTCGCAGATCATCTCTACCGAGGAAATCGTTGAAATAGATGATAGTCATAAATGGCTTCTAGAAGCGATGGCACCTAACTCAAAAGACAAGCGAAAACGGCAAGCCAGAAGCCTGGTAGGAAAAATTCTGGGCTTAGTCCAGGACACGTCTCAAGATAGTCCATTGCTATTCTCTGGGAATCAGCTCTGGGAGTTGTCCAGGGTTCTACCCTCCGCTCTGGTGCTCAGCCGACGTGGACCTACTGAGATAGACGCCTTTATTGCTGATGCAAAAAGAGGTTGCCTTCCATCCCACCCCTGTGTCATAGAGGCTACTGCATCGGGATCTCAATGCGCAAAAATAAGCGGATCTTTGAATGAAATCTTGCAGCGCCGTGAGCTAGGGCTTCGTGTAAAACGACAGCTTCAGTCAAATATCAACAAAGGTTTTAAGCTTGCGAAAACTTGGAAAGGTGCCTCGAATGATGTGATTGTCCTGTCTTGGGCACCTGATGGCACAAAATTTGCTGCCGGCGCGACAGCACAATGCGACGAGCATAATATGGAATATAACCGAAATAATAATCTAGTTGTTGGTGATATTGTCAACAATGAGTTGATGGAATTACCGGACCACTATGTTCTTCGGCCCCCAGGGAGGAGCGCAGCAAGCCGGACTCTTCATGATCCTCGTCTCTGGATGAGCGTGACTTCCATCGAGTGGTGGGAAGATGCACTCTTTACTGCTAGCTACGATAATACAGTGAAGATATGGAATGCTTCCGGTCGAGATATATCATGCCGCAAGACGCTCAAGCATGACTCTAAGGTGGAAGTTATGGCTCGCTCCCATTATGAGCGGAATTTGCTCGCAACAGGCACACGTTCAATAGGTCTTTGGTCATTAGCAGAGTCAACCCACACTCTCCTAGAGCTGCCTAGGGCTCGATCCAGAAAGGACAGAGAACTGGTACCTACTTCTTTAGCATGGGGGACCATTAAGGAAACCGGAAACATTCTGCTTGCCGGGATGTGCGAAAAGGGTGATGGGACACTACAGACAGGTCTGTTGGCAGGGTGGCGAATAGGGGAGGCATCAATATTACCTATGCAATTTTCCCCAAACTCTCAGAACATGTTTGACATTAAATGGCATCCCACCTTGCCAATCTTTGCAGCAGCAACATCGATAGGTCATGGCCCTGTCAACAAGGCCTACAAGGATACCAGATCCTTAGTCCGAATGTATCAGCCCTTATCATCAAAAGTCTGCACCATGGAGTTTGAGTGTCCGGCGCTAGATATTAACGACGCCCATATCTGCCCTATGAACCCAAGCTACGTGACAGCCAGTTGCACTGATGGAATTACCTATGTTTGGGACCATCGTCGCCCAGACCGAATTCTTCACAAGCTCCAACACGGAGAGCCTCTGAATCAGATAGATGAAACAATCAGCAGGGAGCAAGCTGATGTTGGTGTTCGTTTGTCTCTATGGGGTGATAGGATTGACGAATTCTACACTGGGTCTTCTGACGGCGTGTTGAAGAGATGGGATATCCTTAGAGCCCCGGAAGATGTGCTCGTTCATGATACGGCCAGATTTGACGAGGAAATCATGTGCGGTGCCTTTTCCGAAGATAAGTCCAATCTGCTGGTCGGCGATGCTGCTGGGGGTGTCCATCTTCTATCCCCCGGCCCGTTTACAAGCAACGAGGGCCTTTCTATGAAATTCAAGCCTTCATTACAACCTCAACTGCAGATGTGTCCTGATGGGCATGTATCTAATCCTGAATCAGGGATTAAGGCGGGCGCAGAACTTCTGGAGTCAGGGAAGCTCATCAGACACCCAACATACGGAGTTGGACAAGGACCATATTATGATGGTCCCTTTGCAGCCTGGGCTCGTCCGGAAAACACCCCTGAGCATGAGATTGCACAAACCCGACTGAAAGGAGAGGTGCAGCTACGGCAACTCGATGGTCCGCCCCCAGATTGCAGGATCGGGCTAGATACAGCCACCCAGCAGGATGTTAAGGCGCAGATTAAGCTGGCACATATTCGGAATCGGCGGCGCAATCAGAACAAGAGAACACTGGATGGGCTTACAGAGCCTCTTGCATATGCCGGGACAGATGCCGTCGATCCCGTTAGCGATGTATCCGATAACTACAAGCGCAGGTTGCATCATGTTGTATCACCACCAGGTTCTATGCCACCGATTATTGGGCTCATTGATCCAGTTAGGAACACGGAATGGAGGTCCGGCTCGAATGTTATCCAATTTGCCGAAGTTCAAACGGCCCTACAGGCGGTAGAAGAGGCACTCGAGGAAGACTTCTGGTGGCCGCCCAGCAGTGCCATCGATGCTAACATCCGAGATGTTGACGGTATTTAGTCTGGAGCCTGACGAAATTGGTTAGGAGACCGCTGATCCTATCATGACTCCTGCGGCAGGAAAGTCATTCCTCCAGGATGAATGATGTCAACGGTGTGCCGGCCAATTACATCACGTGGCTGAGCAGCGCCACGGGGCATTGCTGGGTGGGCTTTACTTCGATGTCCGTACCTTAAAATGTAGTCGGTACTACATATCTCTCTCTCTCGAATTCCAGCTCTTTGGCCATTATAAACTTGCTACTTCAACTGTCTTGGCAGTGCTTAAGCCTTAGCCGATCCATTCCCGGCCCCCGTCTTCGCATATCTGATCGCCACACCACCACAGATGTCATTTGCTCCTCCCTCCGGGCCCCCGCCTTCTTCAGTACCTGAAGGATGGAAAGCCCAGTTCGACGACCGATATAAGCAATGGTAAGACCTTATTTCACATCTCCGCCATCATACCCCAGTCGCGAATACATATTCATCCTGCAAGCCGAAAGAAACTAACGCCCAGTGTCAAAGGTTCTATGTAGATCTACGCACCGGCAGATCACAATGGGAACGTCCCGAGGGTCCAACTTACCAGGAAGACTCGCAGAGACCACCCAGTGGGCCACCGCCATCATACGACGCCTCTAGACCTGGTGATCGACCTAGTTCAACGGCGGCCGGCGGCGACAAGAAACCTCTGGGCTCAAGAAATCCGTACAACAGCCAGTCGGATTCTACATTAGAGAGCGATGCCCGCTTAGCAGCTCAGCTACAAGCTGAAGAAGAAGCCCAGGCTCGTCGCAGAAGTCCGATGCCACCAGCACAGGCACAATCTGGCGCTGCGTCCGATTACTATGCCGAGAACTCCTCTTCCCGCGTGCAGTCCCCCCAGGGACCATCAACGTCACCTGCGCCGAAACAGGAGCGGAGCAGGGGCTTCTTGGGCAAATTAATGGGAAGACATTCTGGCGGCAGTAGTAGCAGCAGCGCTGGTGGTATGGGTTACAGTCGGCCACCGCAGCAAGCAGCCTATGGGTATCCTCAGGCTGGATACGGTGGCTATCCTCCTCCACAGCAGGCCGGGTATGGTTATTCTTCGTATCCGG